TATAAGAACGACTTATGTAGCGAAATTGAGGTTTGACCACATCTCGACAGTAGCTTCAAGTTTGAGCACGCCTCACAACGTGAGGGAGTGCTTAAACTTGAAGCTGAAGGTAACCCCGAGATTATAAGTTCTGTAAAGTATTTGAAACATCGGGAATATATTGTGATGTATGTCGCCCATACGACATCTGTGTTGAGTTTATGACATAGTAAAAATATAAACCTCCTAAGTGCAACATGTCTCCTCATTGACACTTCTAAACATTCTTGATGACTCTGCCAGTATCTAAGAATGGTGGAGGGTGCGAATATAGATACATGTTGCTCTTAGTAGATGTTTTATAAGAATATATCCTAAACGAAACTCAATTGTCGTGCGGAATTCATTTGGGTACATTTTAAATAACAGGTCTATGGGATTCTTTTTAATTTTACGTGATTATTTATCTTCTTAGCTAAATTTTCAATTCTTGGATTTCAACGTGAAAGACACTAACAACAAACTTAAGTTTAATGGCTTGGTTAAAACGTCAAACGTCTGGTTGTATATAACGACATAATAAACCAGTTACCTATCTAACATTACTGATACAGCAGTAAAGAGTGAAAGATGAATCCTAAATGTATCTCTTCCAGGCTCAGTTATCATCTGCGCATCTTGATCTGGTAAGTATTCTTCTAAAATTTATTCATGATTAATCATTTATAAATTATTGCTACTCTCATGAAACTTTAATATTTTAATCAAATATTGCCAAATATTTTGAAACAACATGTATTTCAGCAACACGCTTTGGGACAGCGCGGCGCGGCGAATTCTTGCTGTCCTAAAAATCATTTAAGACATAACAAAGGGTCTGTGCCCTGATGTGATGTATATAGGTTATTTAGTAGTATAAATTCACTTTACTATACTTTCAATATATACATATATATTCCATCCCTCAATAATAACCTTTAAAATTCTACTACTGAACATAGGCCTCCCCCAAGGAATGCCATAAAGCACGGTCCTGAGCCAACTACATCCATCGACTTCCTGCATATCTTATCAGGTCGTCATTCAATATAATGGGAGACCGTCTTACACTTCGCTTACCGCTACAATACTGCCACTTAAAACGTTTTTTTCCAATGACATATCCTTACATATTCCTTACATTATATCATGGAGTGCAGGGTGTGAGAATATGCCAACAAGTGATGGAGAAGAACATAAACGGATCGAAAGTAACCAGCACAGCGTTCACTAACCCATTTGCATACATATATATATGTATATGGTGCATATTATGGTGAGTGTAGCGAACCGGAAACCATATTTACTGGAAAAGAGGCATTCCATCTAAGCCCTCACGACTGACAGCATCTGCAGTTTGATTCTCAAACGAGGATAGATGTAGATGTCTATAGGCCACAGCAACCACTTACCATCAGGTGGACTCGGTGCTCGCCTGTCACCCTTATCCTATAAAAAAATTTATTAAGAAGGCCCTATGTTCATCAGTGAACTCACCAAGATCTATAGGAGATTGTTTTGAATAATACATCAACAATTATTTAACCGGATGGATCACGTCCAATTATGAATCCTATCCACAGTTTGAAAAGTCATTTGTTTCACTAAAAATGTTGTCTGAACGTATAGGAACAAAAATAAAAAGTTAATTTTTGTTATATGCTGTGTATCTCCACAAATAGCAATGAAACAAAAATAGGGTTTAAGCCGGTCGGGGCTCGACAGAACCTGTCCTAATGTAAATCAAAGTAAAAGGCGTTATGAAAGTGTAATCCCGAGCCATCCTGTTACAATAATTTTTCATAATTTATTTTTTTATTTTCAAAAGTAGAGCGGCAAAATTAAAAAATATAAAGTACTTAAAATGTCGTAGTAGCTCAAGACTTAGCGCTCGCTAAGTACGCAAGCAACCCGGGTTTGATCCTCGGCAGCACCAAGGGAATTGTTAGTTGCAAATTTAAGTGTTGATTTACCACGTGCTTGGCGGCGAAGGTCTAGGAGGTCAACAGTGAGCCTATTTTTAATGAAAAAAAAGTTAAGAATAACTTCGAGATAAAATTCTATCGCAGAATTTAGTAACGCTGGGCAGAATTTAGGAAGGTTTAATTAAAACTGTGGTTGGAAAGGGCGTGAGTTCTTTGTTTAGTTACCACTAGTTCGAAAAAAAAACCTCTGTCCTAGGTAAAACCAGCAAGAAACCCAGCGGGACTTTTTTGCCATATTGATGGTCACTGAGGAAGTCATTTGTTTCAAGGTATGTCAGCAGCTTACTGTTAAATACTCTTTTCATAACTTTACAGAGTATGGAGGTGATGGCGAATGGTCTGTAATTACAGGAATGGGCACGACTACCCTTCTTGGGTACATTGACAAGCTTCCAAGATTTGGGCACCCTTCGATTTTTAAGAGAGGCGGTACAGACTCGTCAGCACAAGAGCCAACTCAAGCGCACAATGCTTTAGTACTCTTGCAGGAATACCATCAATTCCACTGGCATGATTGACGTCTAGGTTTTGCAAAGCTCTACGTACCTCTTTCGAATGGATAGTGGCCATTTGCATCGAAGAATCACAGCGAGGTAGGGTTGGCGGTTGTTTAGAGCCAGCATCTGGATGATAATTGCTCGCAGAATTTGGATTCGACAGGAGGGTAGGAAGCAAATCTGGCCCCTATACGACTATCATGGTCGAATAGTGCCCTGCGGAGAACCTGCTTGCAGGACTAGGCAGCAGAATTAAAAGCTCTCTTCTTCGCACAAACCTTCCGAGCCTAAATTTTGCGATCATGAGTTAGAATCCAGGCCCAGTAGGCGGATTCTTTGCGAGTCACAGCACGAGGACAGTCCGCAATTGGCGTAACGTAATTGTTGAACATAACTTTAGTTTGTTCAGATTCATACACAGACCAAACCATCGGGAGGGTTCATCCAGCCTGTTCAGTCAGTAAGTTCTTGCCGCGTACTGCCATGATGACAATTTTATCAGAAAAGCGTAAGTGTGAGGTGTTGCCACCGTTTACTTTAATATCGAGTCCTTTCCAGTCTTATTATATCTATATATATTTATATCTTATAAATATTTTTCAGTGCCTTTATAAACAGTTAATGAGATATAACATGCCCCTGTCTCACTCCGCGTTACAATTGGTTTTTTATTGACCGCCCTGTACTTGGAAAGACATTGTACTGATGTTGTAAAGACATCTCAACATTTCGATTTATCGCCAATTAATTTGGCACCGCTGCAAATAATTCATAATAAGTCAAATTTCGATAAAGTCAAAGGCCTTCTCATAGTCCAGAACTGCAAGATACAGGAGCTGATTATACTCTGTTGTCTTATGTATTACATGCCACACTATGTGAATGTTCTCTATAGTGCCAAATCCTTCTCGAAACCTGGCCTATCCCGCAGGTTGAAAGTCATAGTCTTCGTGCGAGTCGATTTGTAAGCACCCTCGGAAACAACTTATAGAATCGAGATCAGAAATCAGAAACGAGATCATCATCATCATCATTACAGCCCTTCACTGCTGAACATAGGCCTCCCCCAAGGAATGCCACAAAGCACGGTCCTGAGCCACCTGCATCCATCGATTTCCTGCACATCTCACCAGGTCGTCACTCCATCTAGTGGCGGAACACCCAACACTTCGCCTGCAGGTACGAGGCTGCCACTCGAGAACCTTTTTTCCCATCGGTTGTCGGTTCTTCGAGCTATATGGCCGGCCCATTGCCACTTCAGCTTACTAATCCGTTGGGCTATGTCGGTCACTCTGGTTCTACTGCGGATATCCTCATTTCTGAGTTTATCACGCAGAGAAACTCCGAGCATAGCCCTCTCCATAGCTCGCTGAGCGACCTGGAGCTTCCTCATCCAGCCAGCATTGAAGGACCACGTCTCAGTTCCGTATGTCATCACTGGCAACACGCACTGGTTGTACAGTCTCATTTTCAAGTTTTGAGGTATACCTGACGAGAAGATGTGCCGTAATTTCCCGAACGCTGCCCAACCGAGTTGAATCCGTCGATTGACCTCTCGGTCGAAGTTGGACTTACCTAGTCGGACTATTTGTCCCAGGTAAACATACTCGTCAACAACTTCAAGCTTAGTGCTCCCAACAACTACCGACATAGGTGTGACATGGACGTTAAACATGATTTTTGTTTTGTCCATGTTCATCTTAAGACCTATCCGTTGGGACAATTGAGGTCATTGAGCATAGTGCTTAGGTCCTCCAGCGATTCTGCCATAAGGACTATATCATCGGCAAATCGAAGGTGAGTGATATACTCGCCATTGATGTTAATACCGTATTCTTTCCAGTCCAGAAGCTTGAAAACGTCTTCCAATGCAGCGGTGAAGATTTTCGGGGATATGACGTCACCCTGTTTTGCACCTCTCTGCAATTGGATAGGTTTCGTACTCTGGTTCTGTACTCGGATAGCCATCGTAGCCCTACTGTACAAGCACTTCAGCACTTCAATATACCGACAGTCAACTTGGCACCGCTGAAGGGACTGCAGCACCGCCCAAATTTCGACGGAATCAAAGGGTTTCTCATAGTCCACATATGCCAGACATAGTGGCAAATTGTATTCCTCTGACTTCTGTACAATTTGCCGAAGGGTATGTATGTGGTCTATGGTGCTAAAGCCTTTTCGGAAACCGGCTTGTTCGGGTTGCTGGAAGTCGTCAAGTCTGCGCGCGAGACGATTCGTAATGACTCTCGAAAACAGCACGTAGACGCGGCTCAGAAGGGAAATCGGTCTGTAGTTCTTCAAGATAGCGTTGTCGCCTTTCCTGAAGAACAAGACCACTGCACTTCCGCTCTACACCTCCGGTGTAATGCCACCATGGAGTACGGAATTAAAGAGCTTCTAAAGGACTTCAAGTACCGGTTTTCCACCCGCTTTCAGAAGCTCCGCTGTAATTCCATCCTCGCCTGGGGCCTTGCCGTTTTTAAGATGCTGGAGAGCCATTCTAATCTCGCTCAGACTGATGCATTTGCATTTGCATTGCATCCCGCCGCATGCATTTGGAGATCTGTCTGTTCAGTTGCCTGTATGCTGTCAAATCTGTTGAAGAATGTAGCTTCATCTCCCGTCTAACAACCATGAGATTAAAAGTGTGATCGGAGAGTTTTTGTGTTCTTCTGCGGCGGGTCTTGCAGAACATAGCTCCGACCGCATGGACAGTTTCCACGAGCTTGTCGTTCATATCGTCCACTTCATTGCAGACTTCTAGGCACTGAAAACGGTTTTGTAACTCGAGCTGAAAGGTTTCGGGACTTTGGATTAACTCCAACTTAACGTTTAGGTTCAGTGTGCCTCTAACCATTCGGTGATCGTTGCCGGTTTTCACCCTCGCGATCACTGAGACATCACTGAACAGTTGTCGTCTGGTCGTCATAATGAAGTCAATCTCATTTTTTGTCGAACCGTCGGCGCTCGACCAGGTCCACTTCCTGTGGGGCCGCTTCTGGAAGAAAGAGTTCATCATAAAGAGTCCCTCTTTCTCCATGAAGTCGGCCAGCTGCTGGCCCCTTGGGTTCTGTTGCCCTATTCCAAATTTCCCTACTTTCAGCTCACCATTCTCTCTTGTGCCTAGTTTTGCATTGAAGTCTCCCATTAACACCGTATATTGGGTATTGGAGGAATGCATGGCTCTAGAGATATCCTCATACATTTCCTCCACCTCCTCATCGGAGGGTGCCGAGGTTGGTGCGTAAACCTGTATGACTTTCGGCGAATACCGTTTGGTAAGTCTGAGTATAAGGTACGCAACCCTCGTCGACACACTCTCAATCTTTACAACGTTGTTAACGGGAGACTTGTGGACGATAAATTCGACACCTCCTTGGGACAGATAGTCGCCCTCCCGGTAAAAGAACAAGTTGCCGGATTCGAGGATTACCGTTTCCTCCCCCTCTCTTCGGACTTCGGATAATCCTATAATATGGCATCGTAACTTGTCTATCTCTTCTTCCAGCTCCACAATCTTCTCGTCAGTCCTCAGCGTGCGTGTGTTGTATGTTGCCAGGTCGAGTCGTCGTAATTGGCAACCGAACCTCCGGAGATTCTTAGCACCCTCTGCCCCACCGTTACCATGGTCGCCACCGTAGCCAGGAATAGCGGGGCCGCCGGGTACTGGGCGCCGTCTTTTTGTTACATTCATTCATAGGGGGGTATTTTCCATAGTTGCCACGCTTGGCGAGCGGGTTGGCAACCGCAGTTTTTTATTGTATTTTTACTGTTATCAGGAAGATGCTGCTGCCCATCTCCTGCCTGTTTCCCTTTGTCGCCTTTTACGACACCCACGGGAAGATATGGGGTAGTGGATATTCTTAACCGCCACTACACGGCAAAACGAGATGGATCAATTTAATTTTTCAGCATAGTCTTGTCACATTTCTTGTGAAACAGGACTGTTATGCTTCTGCACCACTAAAAACTCGACATATTTCTTTTACCTAGGGTTTATTCCCAGCTTTAAAGAGCTTCGTTGTAACTCCGTCTTCTCCTGGGTCTTTTTTAAGTTGGCCAAGGGTAAGCTCCATATCCCCAAAGCAGATGTCTGGCAGCTCGTCGTTATAGTTTAGGGTCTACATGGCTCTAGAAATCGCATTTAGGGTCAAGTTGAAGCTTTGTGAGGCATATAGTTTACCGAAATAATCTTCAATTTTAGGGTTATAGAGAACCAATAAATTTCCAGGCATTCCAACTTAGTTCTTACGGGTGACTATGCATTTGAAGTCTTTTTTGGAATGAAACTGGCTTCAGCTGTCGATGGACAACAGTAACCACTAACCATATGGACTGTTTTAAGTGCATTTGTCAATTCAGTTTTATAAAATTAAAACAAAAATAAAAACAAAACCTTAAAGCTATAAATGAGCTAATTTTTTTTTACAATTTAAAGCTTTTTGAAAAAAATTAAAATATCTCTATACTATATGTATATATATGTATAATATTTATACTTATTGCAGCCGCTATCTTGGATTTACATTTCAACAACACTATCGGATTCAACACCCTCGAAACCCATGAAAATGACACCTAAGATGAAAGAATTTATACCTGTTGCAGCCGCCATCTTAGATTTACATTTCGACAGCACTATCGGCTTCAACACCCGCGAAAACCATAAGAATGACACCCATGATGAAAAAATTGATACCTACTGCAGCCGCCATCTTGGGTTTACATTATGACAGCGCTATCGGCTTCAACTCTCTCAAAAACCATGAAAATGACACCCATGGGGAAAATATTGATACCTATTGCAGCCGCCACCTTGGATTTACATTTCGACAGTACTATCAGCTTCAACACCCTCGAAAACCATGAAAATGACACCCATGATGAATGAATTTATACCTGTTGCAGCCGCCACCTTGGATTTACATTTCGACAGCACTTTCGGCATCAACACCCGCGAAAACCATGAGAATGACACCCATGATGAAAAAATTGATACTATTGCAGCCGCTATCTTGGATTTACATTTTGACTACCCTATCGACTTCAACACTCTCGAAAACCGCGAAAATGACACCCATGGTGAAAAAATTGATACCTATTGCAGCCACCATCTTGAATTTACATTTCGACAGCACTATCGGCTTTAACACCCGCGAAAACTATGAGAATGACACCCATGATGAAAAAATTGATACCTATTGCAGCCGCTATCTTGGATTTACATTTCGACAACCCTATGGGCTTCAACTCTCTCCAAAACCATGAAAATGACACCCATGGTAAAAAAATTGATACTTTTTGCAGCCGCCTTCTTGGATTTACATTTCGACAGCACTTTCGGCTTCAACACCCGCGAAAACCATGAAAATGACACCCACGATGAAAAAATTGATACCTATTGCAGCCGCTATGATGGATTTACATTTCGACTACCCTATCGGCTTCAACTCTCTCGAAAACCATGAAAATGACACCCATGGTGAAAAAATTGATACCTATTGCAGCCACCATCTTGGATTTACATTTCGACAGCACTATCGGTTTCAACACCCTCGAAAACCATGAGAATGACACCCATGATGAAAAAATTGATACCTATTGCAGCCGCTATCTTGGATTTACATTTCGACAACCCTATCGGCTTCAACACCCTCGAAAACCATGAAAATGACACCCATGACGAAAACATTGATACTACTTCCTTTTAGTAGGTACTACTATTATTTATTCTGTGCTTTTAAAATATTGTAATAAAAAAATCTGTCATTATTATTTTAATCAAGTATTTAAGAAATTTGGTTAATTGAATATTGTGTATTTGTACAGCGAACTTTTTGAGCCGTTGCAAACTACCGTTACAATGTCCACTCACGACGGTGACTGACGCCGAACTGAGTGACGCTGTCTCTATTTAGTAATAATTTATTCATACAAGGCTCCCGAATACACCGAATTTTCGCCATTTCGCAGCCGAAAAAATTAATTATAGCTAAACAAAACAAAATTACACTGACATTTACATTCAGTAGCTTCCCCCATGAAAGATGAAGAGGTTAAAAAATAGATTGAGTTAAACAATTGATATTTTCAAAAGTTATCGTGTTTACAATCCTTGACTTGATAAATCCACACCATAAGCCACTAAAACCTCTTTTTTATCTAAAAATAGCAATAAATCGACTTAAAAAATATATTAATAAGTTCAACAAACACTTATCTTTCTAACAATGTGCTTTCTATATCATTTATATGTATAATATGATAGCTAAATACGATTTCATGCGATAAAACGTTGGAATCTTAATTTTTAGGCGATATTAGAACATTCCTTGCGCTTTCGCTTAAGGCATGCAATATTAGGCTAACTTGTAATTGGAGCTCAATTGCTTCTTCTAATAACTGTACCGCTTCAGTTTTAAAATCGCACCCAAACTTTTCGAACAAAAAAAACTTTCGCCTTTTTTATAAACACATTCTCCATCGACAGTAATTCGAATCTAAAGCCTGGAACGAATTTTAAAATTTATTATTTTAGTTTTAGTTTCAAATCATTAAAAATATCACAAAATACTATCCTAATTTTTTTTTACTAATGGACTCGTACTGTTGTATTTTTCTAGTGTTAAGTTATAAGTAATTATCATATACATAATAATTTGTTTCAAATTTCCTTCACAATATCTAACTCTTTTATTATTCGATCATGCAGATCTTTTACTGCTACAGCACATACTCATAATGTAGATATTGATTTATTTCATTCCAGCGTTATCCAACTTAGGCGTTCACTTTCTAACAACTTCTTTCTTTTTGATAATGTAATTTATAGTTAAGTAAACTGTTACTATATCTCTTCTGACACACTCTTGTCGTATAAAGTATTATATAAGTGAAAGCTTGTAAATATCCTTCATTTTTGTTATAATTATATTATTTTTGTAAATTAGCTGTAAGTTTTATAAGCAAATAAAAATAAATAAATAAATATGTTGATTCGTCACATTGCGAAGTTTTTGGAGATTTTGACGGCAGCTTGAACCAGCAGACAGTCGATGGTTTAACATGTCACAGTTTTTTCTATATTAAAATTGGCGCATCATCGATGACGTGCTTCATGGTGAAAGTACTTAAAAGAAACCAACATAGGATTACTAAAACTTATGACGAAAATTTTTCAATACTGAAATCTTTCCGTACTACTGACATCAGGGGGGAAATACAAGTCGAGTTGAATATAAAGGAGAGAGATTTTCTAGTGCTATGGTTGTACACATTATGAATGATGAAGCATGACACTACACAAGAAAAAGTTGGAACACAACGTGCGCTTGTTCCAAAATGTTAGAAAGGGGATGTAGAATTTAATCATTTATTTGCCAAAGTTGGAATGAAAGACCCAAGATTCAGTAAAAGTGGGAGATTACTTATTCATTAAATGGCAAAAATGTTATATACCCACAAAGGATTTACGTTCAGCTGCCTTATTATGAATTTATTATATATTATGAATTTCACCGGGAGAGGCGCAATCAAATCCCAATTCACAAACAGCCGCTAGTTTTAACATTATATCGAAGTCGTTCGCTTTCATAGCTGAAAGTAAATATTATTAATACTAATGTGCTCTGAACTGGATTTCGGTTGTGTACTGTATGATAATTAAGTTACTAGTTTTAGTTTTTTTTATTATAGTTTTTAATATAATAATATTTAAATTGCTTTAGCTTAAATAATAGCTTTAGAATTCGGGGCTTTAATGGTTCATTACGGTATACACTATGTCTGTTTTGACTATGTCTTAGCCCTGAGTTACATAAAAACATATTTTGTTTGTTGATGTTTTCTATATATTTAATAAAAAAGAATAATTAAAATCAGTCTACACTCGAATTGAGATCCACCTCTTTTTTTGAAGTCTGCTAAAAGTAGCGAAATCTCGTACCGTAAAATATTTGCGCTCTCGGCATTACACGCTTGAAGTGCTGTATGCGTTGGTATGCCTCGTCCATGTTGAACACGTAGATTGGCTCTTTTTGATATCCGCTCTCTATTACAGCCCGCGCTACGTCAGCCGGTGAATGGTTCTCCAGCACAAAGGCTGAATGGCTCGCAATTTCATTTTGTATCGTTCCATTAATTGTCTGAAGTACACGTGAATACATTACACATGAAGTAACGAAGTGAAATTGGTTTAAACGTATTAAATATGTATGCCTGAGTTGCTGTGTTCTGGACTGAAGGACGGGGGGGAGGAGTGGGAAAAAAGCCAGTACATTACTACTATTACTGGAAACGAGGCATTTCATCGTAGTCCTCGGGGGTGACAACGTTCTGCGTTGTGGTATCGAGGATAAATGTAGATGTCTATGGTCCACAGCATCCACTTACCATCAGGTGGACTATGTGCTTGTATATCATCCCCGTTCTATAAAAAAGATCGTATCACTATAATATAGAGAAACGAAAGTAGACACAAGTAAAACGAATGTGATGGATTGATATTTTATTATATATCTATATATATATATATATATATATATATATATATGTATCAATCAAAATATCAACAGATGAATTATATATATATATATATATATATACATATATATATATATACATATATATATATATATAATTCATCTGTTGATTTATATAAACATTTGATATCAATCAAAATATCAACAGATGAATTATATATATATATATATATATATATATATATATATATATATGTATATATATATATATATATATAAAATAAATTTAATGTTACTAACCAATTTATGGACCTTTGTCTGAAATAAAGTTTATTATTATTATCTTTTCTACTCCTTTTTTTCTCAAGATTTTCTAAGATCTTGGTTTTTAAGAAATGCTCACGGGCCTAAGCCAAGTGCGCGTCCCTTTGGGAATCAAAATTTGAGGTGTCTTCTTGCAAAAATTTTCGGACTATACGACAAGTGTTGAGGATGGCTGCTTTTTGCATGGTAATATAACTATTTTCAGGAAGATCTAATAGTTTAAGGGAGTGGGGCAAACATTTCGGGATCACACCAGTACTGGAGAGCACCAGCGGCACAATGTATACTTTGTTCATTTTCCAGATTCTAGTTACTTCTTCTTTTATTATTATTATTCTTTTTTTATTATTATTATTCTTTATTATTATTATTATTATTGTTATTATAATATATATTTCACCTAACGGAAGTGACTGTGACACAACGAGACTTAAGGACATCTTAAAATTGAGTAGCGAATCAGTATTTGGACATCTTTCTGTTTGAATTTTTCCTTAAAATTATCCTAGATTTTCCTAGATTTCAAAATAAAATTAAAATTTATTTTTGCCAGAACGTAGTGCGTAATATTTTGATGTTGTTATCTATTAATGAGACCTTATATTCTACCATGATAATGGCGTCCAATATCTTTACAATATACAAAAAATATTATTATTACAATTTAATGAGGTAAAATATTTAAGAAAAATAATTATGTAGTTAATTAAAAATATTTTAGCGTCAAATTTTTAAATTACAATAAATACATGTCAAATTGAATTAATTAGGTAATTGATTATATATAAATGTCTAGTATATAAAAAAATATTAAAAAATGTCACAAAAATATGAAATGTTATAAAATAATAATAAGTTTTCTATATTTCACCTTTATTTTACATTCCTTTATAATTGATATATTCGTCTAATCGCTCTAACCTATAAAACATATTGTTGCCAGTCATTCTGGGAGTTTCCTTTTAAAAATTACGAAAGAGAGGTCTTTAAAAGTGATAGGCAATTTATTGTAAACTTTAATAGCATTTATAAATACATTTCTTTTATTTATATCAAGGTTGCATAGAGGCACGTAGAGCTTAAATTTATTTCTTGATGGATTGATGGATTTCTTGGATGCTGTTTGAAAAAAACACAAAGTTCCCGTATATACATACAAATTAGAGGGAGTAGCCATGCCAACCTCAACAGAGTTGCTCCACAAAAAGAGACTGTATGAAAACACTGAGGAGACATAGCCGTGGAATGCGCTCAGTGCCGCTTCATTGGCGACTTGCATGACAAACACAAAAAAAACTATTTGTCGAATACCAGATTTGCTGATTTGTGTATAATAAAGTATTGAGAGCGTCGCGGGTGGAAGTTGCGAAACTGCGAGATGTCTGATGTCGCGTGAAATTAAATCAAAACCCAAATCAATACAACGGGAAAGACCCTGTACAGCTGTGGACTTTTACGGGTTAATGAAGGAGAAGAAGATACTTCTACCTGATTAATTGAAGTGAAAACTTCTTTAGAAACGTTGGGCAATTGCGGGATGGGACTATCTTTTTTTAAATTTTCGATATGTGAAATGAGAAAAGAAGGCGAGTTGTTCAATTATGTAAATTAGTGTGTATTTAGAATATGTGTTAGTAGGGATGTTATACATGACAAGGATATAGAACGAAGAATGATTGCAGGATACAAAGTAAATGTATTATTACTATTTACTCTATTGTGAAAAGTGAGAAGTAATTGTCGCGGAATGTCCACTACCCCATATATTCCCGTGGGTGTCGTAAGAGGCGACAGTGGGAAACAGGCAAATTACAATAAAAAAACTGCCGTTGCCAACCTGCTCGCCAAGCGTGGCAACTATGGCAAATTCCCCCGTGATGAAAGTAACGAAGAGTCGGCCCCCAGTCCCCGGCGGTCCCGCTATTCCTGGCTATGGTGGCGACCATGGTAACGGCGGAGCAGGGTGCTAAGAATCTCCGGTGGAGGTTTGGTTGCCACCTAAGACGACTCAACCTGTCAACATACAACACACGCACCCTGAGGACTGACGAGAAGATCGTGGAGACGGAAGAAGAGATAGACAAGTTACTCTGGCTTATTATAGGATTATCCGAGGTCCGCAGAAAGAGGGAGGACACGGTAATTCTCGAATTATTATATCTCGAAAATATTATATTGTAAATTATGCTTTTAAAAAAGTCGCACTGAGTTTCATGCTGGTATTTCCCCGGACAGAAGCTTTTTCCGAATCAGTGGTAAAGGCAAAAAATTACCTTCAATAAGAATCACACAGTCTTCGAATATTGATAACTATTTTATTCTAATAAATAACTGATTACGAGTCTACTCATAGTTTTCCTAGTATTATCTAATATCCTAAGTACATGCCTATACAAGCCACAAACATAAACCCAAATTCTAATATCAACGAGCGATACATGCAGCGAACTCCCGTCGACCATTAATATTCTACGAAGCTTGCATTTCTGTAGACATGATGTAGACATTATTGCAAAATATTTGATGAAAGATAAAGCGTAGACATACGAATATAATGCACCTCGTAAATAATATTTTTAATTAAGTAGAAAGTATTCAAAATTTAGACTGCAAACATAAGCTCATTTTTTTATATAAACTATATAAAAGTAAAGTTATAGTTTATATGTAGGTCAGAAAGTATTGCGAAACTAAAAAAAGTTATATTGTTAAAGATTTAATTACTAAATCATTTGAAAATCTTTCCACTAGTATCCTATCTGGTTAAAAGTTCCATGCGTCTGAACCCATTTTCTAAATAGTTTTTCAAGGCTGCTTCAGACAACTATCCCATTTCCTGCTCAACGCTACTGGCGTATCTTGTAGTGATGAAAACTGTATCCCTTTCAGTTGAATAAAAGAAGTCACACGGTGCCAAATCAAAGTGTGACAAAATCTTAACTAGTGTGCTATCCAGGAAATTTCACGTTCTGAGCGTTGAGTTCAAGTGCGTGTTGTCATGGTGAAGCAATAGACCTCGGAGCCCCTTGTTCGGTCGTTTGTTACTCACTGCATTTGGTAATATTCCATTCGGCATTGATGCCAGTTCGAATTTTTATAGAAATTCACACCAGGTGACCCGTCAAATTGAAAAAAAAAAACTAGAGACACAAACCTTTCCTTTGCTTTAATATTACTTCAATTTGGCGTGGTTTCAATTTAAAACAGTTATTTAAAATCTTAAAAATTCATCGCACGAATATGTTTGTCTATACCTGTCAGATCACACCACAGTAACGCATTTGCTGCTATTTGGAGGTGTAAATGGGTATGGGGCGGTACATACCTACACGGACCTCTAGGCAGAAAATGATTCCTATCACTTAGTGAATATATAACTAAAAGAAAGCATTAAATTGAAATAAATTTTAAATATAGTTTAAATCCAGAGATAATAAATTCTATTCAATGAAATACTTTCTAGTTAAAAGAAAAGAGATGATGATGTCAAATAAAAGGGAAAGTTGATTGTTATCTTTTTTCTACTGAATTCAAAAAGGAGGAGGTACTCAACTCGACTGTATGTTTTTTTTCTACCGACTTTAAAAAGGAGATGGTACTCAATTCGACTGTATGTTTATTTATGTATGTAACCTCATAACTTTTTCTGGATGAACCGATTTCGATGATTCTTTTTTTTATTTAAAAGCCGATTCTTCTCATGTCATCGCATATAAATTTGATCATGGTTTGACTAATAGTTTTTAAGCTATTCTTTATAATTTATATTGAAGTCGGTTGTATTTCAGCATTTAAATCATTTAAATTTTAAATTATTTAGATGCGAGATTGAGAGTTTTATTTCTTGAGGCTTCTCACAACTCCTCCCGTAGTAGGCACTTGTTGAATCGATGGCCCTCTCCCAGTAATTAGTGAATAAAAAATATTGTCGCGGGCGAAGTTGGGGTAAAACTAACTAATATTTTTTAAAAGAAACGATGTTTTCGTATAAGATAAATATTTATTTATTTATTTGTTTAATGGCAACTTTACTAAACGTTATCCACAACTCATATTAATAATACTACAGATCATAAAATATTACTCATTAATATACTACGAACAACAGCAATAAACATTGAGAATGTATAAGTCCATATTTATAGTGTTATTATTTGCCGAAATTAGAATAAAACATAAGAAACCATACGATGCCCGCGATAACGGTAGATTTTTTACAATTATGGTATTATAACTCAATTTTTATACAAATAAACGTGATATCTGCGTAGGCTGATTGTAAGGTTATCTATCATCGATTTCGATTCAACATGCAAGTGCGTTATCACACTTGAGGAATGAGATTGCTACCAGCAGCATTA